CCTGTCTTCCTCTCAGGGCACCTGCTAGCCTTCAGCTTCACCCCATGGAAGACACACCACCCTGCCACGGCAGAGGCAAGCTGGGAATCATAGAATCATAGAATCACCAAGGTTGGAAGAGACCTCCAAGACTATCAAGATTAAATGTCCACTTTTATCAATATTTTACACTAAACCATGTCCTTCAGTACAGCATCTAAAAGTTTCTTGAACACAAGCAGCACTCACAGCAATGGCCTTGGAGTCTTGGCTGTGTTAGAGCACGGACAGGAGTAGGCCCAGGCCCAACAAAGAATGCCTCTTGCTCACTGGCTGGTACATGGGCAACCATCTCTTCTTTACCAAGAAAGAAGCAGGGACACTGGCCTGGAAGGCTACTAGCAAGATAACAACTTGTAGCTACAGGGTATTGGAAGAGATTTATCCTAGAAGTATAGTGCTTGCTGTCTCCTCTGAGAATGTATTGATGCCACAATACTCATTACATATTCTGACCTCTGACAGATGTGAGCAAGGACCCTTCCTTTGGCTTCTCCTTTGGTGACAGTTTGGCTATTCTGTGTCAGACTTGATAAACAAAGCACAAATAGGCAAAGAGCGTGCTCTACTCATGTCTGCTAGCCTTTCTTACTTTAGTCATTTTAATCTAAATGGCTCAAACGTGTCTATGTGTTAAGATGAGTAGCTTTCTGATGCCAGCTTAGTTCAGCAAGCTAGCTGCCAGCAGTGAAAAGCAGTGCATAAAGACTTCCCTCCTGGAAATATTATTTGTGGTAAGTGGTGTAAGAGAAGAGTTTTGCTTCTAAAACAAGATATGTTACATTACACATTGGTATTTTTTAACATAAGGAGTGTGGTGTTTAACTGTTAATAAATATCCAGGCTTAAAGTTAATCAAAGGCAGTTACTAAACACCAGGCATGTGCAGCTGGTTTCCTTTTTAAACAAAGACTTGGGCTCAGAGAGGGGAATTTCATGGGGCAAAAAAAGACGAAAGAGGAAAAAAAAAGGCTTAGGTTTTTTTTTGTTTGTTTGTTTGTTTGCCTTTTAAACCTAGTAATGTTATTTCAGTTAATTCCTATTTCATGGAAGAATTTTATTATATTTAATACTTTAGATTTGTAATTGCCTATCAATTTTGGTCATTTTTTTTACTTTGGTACCACAGTAAAGAGGATTTCTGACTGTGAGGGATTTTCCCAATAGGAAAAGGACAAAATAACTGAAAATTTCACCTAATCCTAGGCACATTAGACAAACAGTGAGTGTTGGAGGGTGTTAAAATCAACACCTGCATGCTGGAGATAAATACACTAGTGTCATGGAGAGTGTCTTACTGAGCTGAGCAGGAGCAATTCTCTTCCCTGGGGGCAGTGGTGCAGTCCTTGGGTTCCCTGGGAATGATATGCAAGCAGTGTTGCTGTTTCTGCTTTGCCTGTGTTGTTCATATCATGCTCTGTTACTCCTACCTCTTAGTGGGGTCTCTTGCACCTACTAAGGCACTGGCTTACACCACAGAGGGTTTTTTTGGTGGGAGTATAAGCTTTTACTACAGGAAGCAGAGCAGGAAAGGATTGAGATTTAAGAAAGAAGCAGTAAAATGAGGGGACAAAGTAGTGGAAGGAAGGTGTTAATCAGTTTTCACACAAAAAGTGAAATTATGTCTTCAGCGCTTCTCTGATTTGGATCCTTCTGCCAGAGCCTGTCCTAAAGGAGAGATGTCTGGCATTACTCTGTAGCCAGAGGAGTCTGCTAATGTTTGGTTTTGGGGGGCTCAGGCACTTATACCACTGGAATCATTCAAATCACCCAAGAAGCCTTGGAAATCTTCCTCAAGGGGCTTCTTTCTTTCCATTTCTGTTTTATGTGAAGTCCATTTACACTCAGTGGAAAACTAAAACTGACTCAGAGCACCCTGAGATCAGTTCTAACCAGCAGCACATGTGGGAATCAGGCAGAGCAATCCTATCTTGTGCTTGGATCTCTCAGAGGAACTCCCTTGTGGGAGCACAAATGCAATTCTAAGGTTGGGGCTTTCTTAGGCAGGGAGGACTGCTACTTATCTGTACAACCCTGTGTAGATAAAGAGAGATAGAAATACTGCTACTAAGCAATGTAAGCTTTGAGTGCAGGGCTCTGGGGGCAACTAATGAGCACCTTCTTTCTTCAATTAGTCATTTCTCTGCAGCTTTACTTCCTCTTTGAAAGCAGATAATTTCATTTTGCAGTAGAGAGTAAGTCTGCAGCCCGCAGAAATAAAACAGGCTTTGACTTCCTATAGCTTACCACCTCAGGGGTGTTCTGGAGTTATCTTCTTCGTTTGTGCTTTTTATGTGTGTGTGTGTAAAGATGGACAATCAATTACTCAGTACAATTAAAGCTATGAATTATTTTTGAATAATTATTTGCTGTCCAATTCTCTTGTGTGTGCAGAAATTTTCCATTCCGTCTGATCTAAGAAACAAGGTTTAAAATGACATTGCTTCTGCATTGTCTTTCACCTCAGCATCTGCATACCTCTGGAGACTTTCTAGAGCACCAGCATGGAGGAGGAAGATTCACACTTCAGTGGACAGTCTTTGATAACTTCTTCTGATGTTTTGCCACAGCTTAAACCAGCAGAGACCTGACATACATTCAAATTGCCAGGTACTGACAAATAGAGAAATAAGATAGGAGAAAAAATTACTGTGTGTCCTTCTGGATTTTGAAGTGCATGGCAGCACTCTCAGAGCATCAGCTCATCTTTAAAAATCCTGGGTCTTTATGGAGCTTCACTTAACTGAAACATGACACTCATTCTGTACGTTAAAAAGGTGGATTTTATTTACACTGACCTCGTTTCTGGTCCTCCTGTTTGCTCCCAATGCAGTATTGAATACATTAGGGACAAGATTAAGAATGATCACTCTGTTTAGAAAAAAAAAAGGAGTGTTTGTTTAAACCACTGGCATGAGTAGCTGACACATCTGACATTGTCAAGTTTGGTAAAAAGATACAGGTTTTACACAAATACACTTATAAGCACAGATACATACATACACATGTGGGATCCAGTTAAATTAAGGCCAGAGTGGGAGTACTCCCGAGGCAGTTGTAAGAGCTGATAAACTGCAGATCTCTGGAAGTCGTTAACACAGCAGCAGGTGAAGAGATCTGAGATTAGTACTGCATGGGAATAATACAGAATAATGCTACATTAGACAAGGGGAAAGAAGAAACTGTGTAAACTGTGGCTGTGTTTTGAAGCTAGAATAAAATAAATAATTGGGCTTTATTGATTTTCCTTATGCAAAAGGTGATACACAGGAAGGGAAAGAATTAGCAGCAAAAGAAATAAGGAAATAGACATACTTCCATTGTCTATTTCAATCAGTCAGGACGCTTCAGGAAAATTGAAGAACACAATGCCGTTCCTGTGCTTACAAGCTGGGGAGCACCCAAGCATTTTATCTGTGGTTGCACAAGATGACCAACTGACACAGGATATAAACCAGTTATGCATGACAGAAGAGGTGATGCCCAAAGGTTTGTAATGAACAAACTTGAAATGCACAGCAGTGAACGTGAGTACATCAAACTACAATAGACCCATAACTCACAGACAATTACTCAGCCACACCTAAAGTCCTGTGCTGCACTCAGATTTCTTTCTAGATATTTTGTGACTGCAGTAGAACACAATAACAATGAACTTAAAAAGACGTTGCTGTAAGAGAAGATCAAAAGGTTCTAGGGAAAAAAGCGGTGAGATTTCAACATGCTTAGAGGTTGGTGCTGGTGAGTGTAACATACGCCAGTTAGTGCATCCTTATCTGTGGAGAAAGTCCTTTGAATGAACACAGAAATGGCTAACCTTATGTAAGAATCAGAAGGCATGAACCATGGAAATATTCAGTGTTTGTGGGATTCCTGCTTTCCTCTTAAAAGGGAAAAAGCTGAATTATTGCTAAGGAAATAAAAATAATGACATTTCTTAGCTGCTGCTCTGTGTTATAAACACAGCCTACATTGGTGTGCCTTTTATTTGCTAGAGAATTAACCTTTCTAATTTTCTGCTTGAACAGTCCCACTCGGGTTCAAGATTTAGAAGACAGCAGGAAATATTCACTGAAAGTAAAAAATACACCTTTTTTAGACATGCAAATAATATGACTTTGGAAGTGAGATCTATAGACACTTGATGCATACTTGAAGCATACACACACTAGCCTGGAGTAAAACCCATGCTTCGTTTTGCCCCTTCCTACTTGCTGAAAGCCCTGCAGATCCTCTCTAGATTTTCAATATCTTTCTAGCAAAAACGTGCAGTACACAGAAACTCCACAGGCGGAGAAGCAGTAATATCTCTTTAAGTATTGACCTCTGTGGCTGCCCCTCTGAATCAAGGAGCATGGTGAGCGTACCATCAGCTCATCTTTGCACAACAGCTTCACTTCCAGAAAATTAACTTCTAGAGCCTTTTTTCCTTCTCATTTATCTTCTTTCATCTGCCATGATATGCTTCCTTCCCAATGGGTTTTGCTAGAAAAGGATCCTACACGATGGTATTAAGAAGACAAAAGAAAATTCCACTCGCCCAACACATTCAAACTGACTTCAAAGTTCCCTTCCTGCTCTGCCTGATGCCTTTTGGTGCAGCTTACTGCAAAATCTCCCCGCGATGCTCTAAACCACAGCTTTCAGACCACCCCCGTCACAGCCACAACACCGCACCGCCTCCCGGGCCCGCGGCGCGCAGCCTGCTGGGACATTCCGCCCTCTCCCGTGCGGGGCTCCACTTCCGGCTGGAGGCTGGAGAGCCACTGGCTGCTGGCCAATAGGAGGGCCGGGCGGGCAGGTGCAGTAGCTGCTGATTGGCCGAAGGGGGGGCGGGGCGGAGGACGCCGGGAGCGGACGGGGCGCAGGCCGGAGAGCGGGGAGGATGCGGTTGCGGCTGCGCTCGGGGGCCTTGGCCACCGGCTGCCTGTTGGCCGAGGCGCTGGGGGTCGCGCTGTTCCTCCGCGGCTTCTTCCCGCTGCCCGTCCGGTCCCTGCCGCGCGGGGAGGCACGCGCAGAGCCTCCCGCCGAGCCGGCCCCGCCCGGCCCAGGTAGGAGGCTGGGTTGGTCCGCGGTTTCACGGTGCTCTCCGGTGTGCGAGGGCTTCTGTGCTTTGCAGTGCCGTTCCGAGGCGCTGTCGTGTTTCAGAGCCTGCTTCCGAAGTAGCTTAGAATAGAGGTAGTTCTGTAGGTGTAGGGTTGGTCGCTGTCTGCAGTTTCTGCTTGCAAGGAGCCTTAATCATCGACTGTGGATGGTGATAGTGAACCCCTGACCTCCAGGGAACAGCTGCACTGAGCTGTGTTTCGGCCAGGCGAGGTGGCTGCTACGGCATGTGTCTGCTGCTTGGTAGGACATCTGTCTGCTGGAGCAAGGTTGTGGTGGCCCTAATGAGACCCACTGCTTTTTGCCTCCTGTCATTGCTATTTCTGAGTTATACAAAGGCAGAGCCTTGGGATAGGCTCACTGACTTTGTAGAGGCAGTGGTTGGAAGAGACGTTTGCCTAATTCAGAGCGTGGCATCACAACATTAGTGAAGCAGAAGCGCTGTAAAGCTCTAATCTTACAGGCTTAAGCTGAGGCTGCTAAACTGCAGTTAAGTATTTAGCTGGAGATTACCAAAAGTGTCAGGGATGTCTGATAGGTTGTGCTATAGAGATCTCAATATCGGGTTTGAGTATGAGTGAAACTTTGTATTCCCATGTGAATGTTAGCAGTAGATGCTGGGGGGGCAAGAGGGATCAGACAATTGGGCTTTGAAAAGTCAGGTTTGACCTGGAGAGTATAAAAGTGTGCAGACATCTCTACAAACTCTTAGGTTAAATTTAGATGTGTTTGTGATCCTAGGAAAAAATACAGTGATGGGAATGGTTATTTCCTCTCTGGAGTTCTTGTGTTAGAGCTTGAGTGCAGAGTGATCTCTTGGTCTCACTAATAAGCACTTAAAGCCATTGCATTGCTTTCCTAACCTGTGTTAGACAATCATAGAATCAAAGAATGGCGTAGATTGGAAAGGATCTTAAAGATCCTTTAATTCTGATCCCCCTGCCATAGGCAGGGCTGCCCCCCACCAGACCAAGCTGCCCAAGGCCCTGCTCAACCTGGCCTTGAATGCCTGCCAGTTTTGAGCACTCACAGCTCCTCTAGGCAGCTGTGCCAGTGCTTCACTGCCCTCTGAGTAAAGAATTTCCTCCTAATGTATAACCCAGATCTCCCCTCTTTTTGTTTAAAGCCACTCCCCCATATCCTGTCCCCATCAGACCATGTAAAAAGTCCATCCCGCTCCTGCTTATAAGCTCTCTTTAAGTACCAGAAGGCCACACTGAGGTCTCTACACGACCTTCTCTTCTCCATGCTAAACAATCTCAACTGCCTCAACCTTTCTTTAAAAGACAGATGCCTTAGCATCAGCCTCATGGCATCACCTGTTCCTGCTCCAGCAACTCCGTTGTCATTAGTGAAAGATGTTGAAGAGTGACAGACCCCTGGAAGACAACACCTCCTGTGATCAACCTACACATGGGCATAGAGCCATTTACCACAACTATCTGACTGCAACCATCCAATTCTTTATCCACTGATATTGTCCCTTCAAATCCATAGCTTTACAATACAGAGTTAACAATGTGATGGGGGAGTATGTAAAAGGCCTTACACAGGTCTGAGTAAATTATGTCAGTTGTTTTTGTATTGTCCACTGATGCTGTCATTGCATTGTAGAAGGCCACTAGATTGGTCAGGTATGATCTGCCCTTGTTGAAGTGGTGTTGGGTGTCTCATAACCTCCTGGTCTCACATGTGCCTTAACATCTCTCACAAGAGGACCTGCTCCATGATCTTCCCAGGCACAGAGGTGAGGCTCGCCAGCCTGTATTTCCCCAGATCTTCCTTTCTCCCTTTCTTAAAAATGGGAGTGATGTTTCTCTTTTTCTAGTCACTGAGGGCTTCACCTGACAGTCATGGCTTTTCTATTAGGACGGTGAGTGACTTGGCAACTTCACTATGCACTTCTTTCAGTACTCTGAGATGCATGTCATCAGGCCCCATAGACTTGTTCGCATTCAAGCTCATCAGGTTGTCACAGACTTGCTCTTTTCTTACAGTGGGAGGGATTTTGCTCCCTCAGTCTCTTCTTAGAGGCTCAGGCACGTGAGAGTAATGGGAAGCCTGTCTGCCAGTGAAGACTGAGGTTAAGAGCTAGTTGAGTACCTCAGCCTTTTCCATGTCTTGTTGAAATTTCTCCCTTCTCATTTATTGGAGAGGGGAGGTCTGTCTCTTCTGACCAATATACCTATAGAATCCTTTTGTTATTTTTCACATCCTTCCCCAAGTTCATTTCCACTTGCACTTCGGCTTTCCTGATCTCATCTCTGCATATCTGGATGGCCCTGATCTTTTCTTCTCAGGCCACCCATTCCAGCTTCCACTGTCTGTACATATCCTTTTTTATCTTCAATTTGACCAGCAGTCCTTGCTCAGCCATGCCAATTTCCTGCTTCCTCTGCCTTATTTTCTCTGCTGAGACATGGATAGCTCTTGTGCTGTTGGAAAGGTGTCCTCAAAGAACTGCCAGCTCTGTTCCATTCCTATGTCCCTAAGGAGAGTTTCCCAGCAGATCCCATCTGGTAATTCCTTAACCAGTCTGAGGTTTGTTTTCATGAAGTTCAGAAGCCTGACTCTGATCTTTGCTAGCTCCTTATTCCTTGAAATCTGACTGCCTTCAGTCTTAATCTCTTTTTAAAAAGTTTGTGGTAGAACCTTCTGTTTTGTTCACTGCTTACAAACATTCCCTTTCACGTAAAGTAACTTTTATAAAGAACTGTAGCAGACATAAATAAGCATGCCACATCCTAAGAGGTGCACATGGTATTCAGCAAGTTTTCCTTCCCTAGATAAGTGGGGGAAAGTCAATTATGAGAGAAACTTAAAGGCACAGTGCATCCAGTTCTGCCTTCTTGTTTTTACCTATGTGAAATGCATGAATGCCAGAGCAAGCCTGCCAATTTAGTAATTCAAGTCATTCAGAAACGACGTTTTATTTTTTGTCAAAGTGGCTGGGATTTACTTTTTTGTTGTTGAAGTTTCCCTCTCTCCTCTGCTGTGCCAGTCTTTAATTTTTTTACCTGGAAAAATCAGTACCGCTAGTGAGTTTGTGAATGTCAATGTAGTGATGCTTAGGCATGCACCTAAAATACAGTTTCTGAGCTTATTTTTAAATTCTTAGACACAGAACTATCTGTGGTCTTCCCAGCTTATCAACCACTTAATCAGAAACGCATTTTACTCTAAAAGAACATGGAAGCTGTAACTTTATATAATGCATATTACTGATCAACCGCAGTGTTGTCTAGGAAGTCATCTATGAATGGGATCCACTCTGCTTTTATCTCTGTACTCCTGTTTTGTCTCTTGGTAAACACATGAGGCCTGTAGAGGTTTGGCCCAAGCCTTCTGCTGTAAAAAGGAAATGTTGCTGTATGACTAAGCTGAATGCAAAAGAAGAAAAGAGGTGGGCTTGAAGGCGTGTCATGGGCCATTGCTGGAGGCATGGCTGTGCTGTGCTCTCTGAGCACAAACTAGTTTTTTCAGGGTATTCTGGAATTGGATTTTGGCCCAACAGCTGCTGTTACCTAACTATCCTAGCATGCAAACTTCAACTCAGAAGGATGTGAGTGTGTACAAATCTTTTTGTATGTCAATGTCAATGAAGTTCTGTTTATTTCTTTGTTACTCCTGCTCTCTGATGGTGAGATTTGATTGAGAGGCACTGCTTGAATTATGTTCTGTTATGCAGGCGTGGATATTAGCACAGGTCAGTGCAGTATTTTTCTTACAGTAACTGTAAATTGGATATATATAGTTCAGTCTAGTTAACTTAACCAGAGAAATTAGAAACTGTTCCTTTCTATCCCTTTGAACTTTTTGTTATGGAGTTTTTTCTCAATTCTTACCATTTCTCATAGTGCATTGCATTCATTCATTGCATTTATGTTTTTCTTCCTAACTACTGAATTTGTGTCATTCTTGTGGTGGATGACCTGAAAACTCAACTTCCTCAGATTAGGTCTAATATTTGCCATTCTTTGCAACTTCTTGCTTTGGAATGTAAAGTTAATAAAATAACTTTGAGGCACACATTTCTGTGGTGCAGCTGTCCTTTAACTTATGTCTAGCAAATGTTAAAATTTTTGATGACTTAAAATACATTCTTCTTCTTGTTGTGCTTTAGGAATAGTTTCCAACTGGACCAAAATTCCACCACCACTTTTCAAAAAAGTTGTCATTGTCCTGATAGATGCTTTGAGAGATGATTTTGTCTTTGGATCCAAAGGTAAACAGTTCATGCCTTACACTACACAAGTTATTGAAAAAGGGACATCCTACAGTTTCATTGCTGAAGCAAAGCCACCCACTGTGACTATGCCTCGAATTAAGGTAAGTTTCCCTTTAGGGTTGCCTCATTGAAGAAAACTGGAAAGATTGGTTTGTTTCATTTGCTGAGAATTGGTGTAAAGAGGTTTTGTGATATTACTGTTAATCTGTAGCTGGAACTTGCTTTGTTGCAGTAATGCATGTGATATGATTGTTATTTGCCTTGACCCAAATGTGCTTCCTGCAGAAAAGGTTGGGCTGCAAAGAAAGTAGAGAAGATAAGTGAGTGGTGGTAGCTTTCACTTACGGCACTTTGCCTTGTTTTGTTCCTTTATTTTATAGCTCAGTGGTAGAAAGCTCTATGAGAATCAGTTGAGGACAGTTATGGCCCTGGGGCCAGCTTAGATGGTGGACGCAGTCTTTTCATTTGTAATCTTGGGAAGGCGGCCGCATGGCTAGCAAATTTTCCTATTGTCTTCTTTGCAAGAGCATTTTTGTTGGTGTTTCTCACTCTGTTCTGATGGGAACTTCTGATGGGAAGTCTAGTTGTATGTAAATTCATGTTGTTCCAACCTCAACATAATTAAAATTTGAGTTTTGTCTGTAAATATTTAGTCATCCTGTTAGCAATGGATCTGAATAGCAAGGCCAGAAAGAGATGGAGGAGAACACAGTCTGGTAGCTTTTCATAGGTGGACTTCATTTTTTTCCAGAAGTTTCTTATTTCTGTTATGAGCATTCTACCATTGTTAGTTTTGTGTTAGTTTAATTTACTTAAGCCATCTACGCAGTCTTACTGGTAATTTACTGAGCCATTAAATGAAGGAAATTTCAACTGGGATAGAGAGTGGTTTTGCTTCCCACTGATTAGAAAATGTAATTTTTAATTTCCTGCTAAGCAAGTAGTATTCCTGATGCCATTTGCCAATTCTTGGCATCATATTGTGACAGTTGGTATGATGTGGCATGGTAGTTCATATGTTCTTTTGCCCTATAGTTTCAATGACTACATACAGTAATCTCTTTCCTCTGCTTCATTATTTTCTCTAACACTGATATTTTATTTTGGGTACTGTAAACTTTTCAATTTCTGTTAATACATCTCTTGTTTTATGTAGGCTTTGATGACGGGTAGCATTCCTGGTTTCATTGATGTTGTTGTGAACCTCAACTCTCCAGCTCTAACGAGCGACAATCTAATATGGCAGGCAAAAGCAGCTGGGAAAAGAATAATCTTTTATGGTGATGATACTTGGGTAAAATTGTTTCCAAAGCATTTTGTGGAATATGATGGAACAACGTCCTTTTTTGTGTCAGATTTTACAGAGGTGAGAGGCTTTTTATAATCTCAAGTTAAATAATGTGTGTACAAACACATAGTGACGACTTCGGAAAATGGAAGAATGAGACTATCCTTGTTTTGAAACACTAACCTGGCAAATAAATAGAAATTGAATTGTGTCTTTTCAGTATTGACAGTCTTGAGCTAAAGACTTCAATTCTTCATGCACAGGGCATTGGAAGTGTTTGGGTCATACAGTAATGGGTGATGCGTTACCTACCATGTTTAAAAATGTCACTATCCATGGTTCTGGTTTCCTAGTGCATTTGTAGAACAGGCCATCTTTAAAAGGCCTGCTAATAGATTGTCTTCTTCTCCTGGAGGCATATTATCTACAGTATTGCTTTTTTAGGTTTAAGATGAGCAGTGTTTCAATGTTTTGGAAAAGATGGAACATAAACAGTAAACAAAACAAATTGTGAAAATTCTTTTTCTGAGAATACTCAAAGAGTAAATGGGCTAGCAGTTCTAACTCATGTTTTGAAACTGATTTGTGAAATCTTGTGCCACTAACCCACTGCTACTGCCATATATACTTTTTCATGTTTAAGGAAGTTAGATAGGCCTATTGTGAATGAAAAATACTTCTAATTGGTTGTCTTAATAAGCCTTGTGGAAGATTCAAAGCTTGCAGAGTGAAATGAAGCAAATGTGTTGCTAGATCTGATGTTGCAGATGCAATGTTTAAGTGTTTTTAATACTCAGGGGAATTGCATGCAACTAAAATGAATTTTTAACTTAGACAGGAGAACTTGGGATAGACACCAAACAGAATTTTTTAAAATATTTAATTATTGCTATGCAGACAGTTTTTTTTTTTTTTTTTTTTTTTCTGTCAGCACTGTTTTTCTCTTCTGTATTTCCTAGCTCCAAAGAAAGGCTGTTCCCTGTACCTGCTTCTCAGAAGCGATAAATCAGAGGTGTGAAAGGTGAAAGTGATTAAAAATGTTTTGAAAGAGTTTTCAGAAGTGTCTGTGAAAGCTTGTCAGTTCTGTATTCTCTGCTTTATGTAATCTGGTCTTTGACAAACAAGAGGGATTGAAATGGGGTGAAGAATTTTTTTTTTTTTTTTTTAAGGTAGTCTTTAACTCTACCTAGCAATGAAGTGATCAATCTGATTTTTTTTTTTTTTTTTACTTTGTGAATGACTAATCCTCGTTATCTTTTAGAGAACTTTCATGACCAGTACAAAATAATCTTTTTATGCTTTATACAGAAGGGAAATATTCTATGCTTTTTACAAAAGGGAAATTATTATTTGTTCTCCTTTTGTTTCTGAGGTTGATGATAATGTTACTAGACATTTGGATAGAGTGTTGAAGAGAGAAGACTGGGATCTCTTAATATTACATTACCTCGGATTGGACCATATTGGACATGTGACTGGGCCAAACAGCCCACTAGTGGGACCAAAACTTCGTGAAATGGACAATGTCTTGAAGAAGATTCATATTTCTCTTCTGTCAAAGGTAATATATCTTGTTTTTGGATGAAAATCTGGCTTTTATAGAATTGTATTGCATTAATAGTATTCAATGCAATTGCCTGTTCATGAGTAGTAGTTTATTCTTAGATGGAGGTGAGTGTTTTTCTATTCTTTTTCCTTTCCTGCCTGTTCTCCAGTTAACAATGATTGCATTGTTAATAGCATTTTAAAGGATTTACTATCTGACATAAGTAACATCTATTAACTGCAACTACTGAATAGTTGTGGGAAATAATTTCTGCTCAATCTGCAGGAAGAGAAGTGGAATATGAGCAAAAATTCTTATTGCTCATGAATGAAAACAGTAGTTGATGTCCTTTTTAGTAATTTAATTTAGCAGAGCAGTAATGGGTTTATGTAGCTATGTGTCTTGTTTTTGTAATTAGGAAGGTATTCCTAATTTTCAGATATTGAAAAGTATCAAATACAAGTGGAGTTTGTAGACGTTTTTTCTCAACATAGAACATCAAATTAGCAAATCTGAGTCTGTTTTTAAAGTTGGAGGTAGAAACTTATCTAAATAGTCTGGATGTTGAAATGTACAATCCTAATTCCAAGTGGCCTTAAGCTTATTCATTTTTGTAGACAGCTGCAGTTCAGATAGCTCCTCATAAAACTTCAGTAGTGTATCTGTACAAATGGATAGCATAAAATTAAAGGAAAAGTTATAATGCTGTTTGTGAAGGTTATAATCACATGTGTCTCGGTGCACTTTTTATGCAATGATTTTGCTGACAATCTGCAAATCTTTCTTGCAGTTTTAGAATAAGGAAATAAGGAAAGCAATTTTCTTCTGAATGTAACAGGTACTGGAGATGACAAAAAACTGTTTTGTTATGAAATGACGACATTTGTTGTCTTTTATTTGACAGCTCAGGAGTGCTGGACAGGCCTTGCTTATGCTTCTGTTTCTCTGCTTTCAAAAACAGACATAATTTGATATCAGTCATGTCAAATTTCTACCCCAAAAACACTTGAAAGATTAGAGAAAAAATTTGAATTTAACCATCTAAGATTTCTCTTTATCGTTTAAAACTTTAAATGTTATAACTTAAAATCTAAATTGGAAGTGTAGAATTAATTTTGTTCATTTTACTAATTAACTAATTTCCTTTGACCCTGCTCAAATCTTTTTTAGCACATTGCTTACAGTAAGATTTATAAAATAGAGTTATTATTACACTTACTGATATTTTTAGTATTAATATTTTTCTAATTAAAGTCTCACTGAAGCTGAAGACTGAGTTCAGCTGGCGGGAACAGACTTCTTTCTGTGTTACTGTTCCTGTACTGCTGATTTTCTTCAAAAAGTCAGACTCTTCTGACTTTGTAAATCGGTTATATTCATTATTTCAGAGTCTTTTTCATGGTAGTGTTATAATGATACATACTTCTGCCTTAACTTAAAAATAAATAAATATTTGCTGCTTAATGCTTAGATGTTTCCTGGTGATCTACTCTGGCTGTTGACAGCCAGTTTTGAAATCTGAATTTATTTCAGTAAATATTAATGCTTGAAGGTGTTAGAGGTGATGGGGCATATATAGGTAGATATATACACATATGCACACACACAAACAGGTCCAGCAGAAGTGTAATGTCTCCTATTCATTCCCATGGAAAATAAAACGGGTACAAACGCCACAGTAACACTGTTTCATAGAGCAAATTCTCCTCTACAGAAAACTGTTTTTCCACATAGTCATTGTCAGTAGCTGCATAGTTCCACCAGGAATGAGCAAAAGTGTGCATACCACACTTGTAACAATCTGCACTAGCAGAGGTGACCCACTGCTGCAGTTGCCACTGCTGAAATGCACTTCCCACTGCCTTAGTGTGCTCACATCCGCTCTTGGGTCTCCATGAAGTTCAGCAAGTGTCGGTGAATGTCAGTGGATAGCATTTTTCCACAAGTAGGAATTCAGTGACTCACCTTTGCTTCATCTACACTTCCACGTTGGATGCCATTGTGTCAGTGTCCCTCTGCTGCCATCTGTCACATGGCAACAACATGTAACGGGGTATTGGTGGGAAGGTTCAACCTCTGCTGCCATCCTGTTAACATCCACCTCTTGAGGGCGTGGGCCAACGTAACGAAATAGGAAACATTGCTTTCAGAGCAACAAACATGTATTGTTTGTGTATTAAACTTTATTACTGTGGCTTGCAGGAAGGAGAGGCTTCTCTGCCCAGTTTGCTGGTTGTTTGTGGGGATCACGGGATGTCTGAAACAGGCAGTCACGGTGGTTCTTCAGAAGGTGAAGTGCACACACCGCTGCTATTTATCAGCTCTGCTTTTGAAAAGAGAAGTGGTAAGGATCAAAAGAACCTTGGTTTTCTAGGATACCATTGTTAGAACGTTTCTGACTTCAATTTATGTTATTCCTGGAAAATAACGTGTTTTTATCATGTTATCATCCTGGTGGTGGAATTTAGCTCACTATTAGTTCTACACATCTGTCAAGATAACATGTTCTTTGTGATCTGTTTTTTAGAGTTTTCGTCTGTGGCATGTTGAATGTGTGGCTTAAGCTGTGTAACCACAGGCAGAATTAGGTATTTCTCAGTTTAAAGCAGGATAGAGCTGCAGAAGTTTTTAATGTTCAGTACTAGTGAGATCTCTTGTCTGGATCACGGAGTACTGGTAAATAGATATGATTAGGACCTAAGTCCTGCTTGAAGTGAGTTTTAACTTTTGTCATTCTTGGCATTAGAATAATCGCTTTTGTCATCTGGTTGTCAACATATATCTGTAACATTTATAATGGGAGAACTTCCCTGAGAGCTTTGGTCAGCTCCATGACCAAACATTTGAAGATTTCAAGAACTCTTCTGGCAATCCTTTTTCTGGCCTCCGTTCTTCCATTTCAAACAGCTGAGACAGAAGAATAAATGCCATTTTTGTGTGCTGGGAATAACAGGAAAGAAGAAGAATTGTTCTTGTTAAAAGGAGGGAGATGACAGCAAAGGAAACAGAGCCATTGGTTGCGAAGTATCTAAGGAAGGAATATGAAACATAAGTGTATTTCCTGTATTGGACAGGCAGTTCATTTTTTATTGTTACATTGAGCTTGTCTGCTTCTGAAGCTCACTCTCAAGTTGTATTATATTCTGAAGCTCACTCTCAAGTTGTATTATACGGCTTAAGATAAGAGGAATGAAGGGAATGGTGTGGTAGTTTGTGTAGCTTAAAATATCTTTCTGAAATAAACACACTGAGTTAATAAGTGAAGCATAGTTAGGAATGAACATTTTCTTCAAAATAATACTTCCCTTCTGCCTTTCATTACACCTCTTGTCCATTTTCATCTCTTTTCCTGCTTGCCAAACCTTGCCTTATTTATTTTTCTGGAGGTTCCTGCAGCACAATTAAAGTACATTTATCTGTCTATCACTTGTAAAGATCATATCCAGCAGTAGTAGAAAAGATTGCCTGAAATGTAAAGATCATATCCAGCAGTAGTAGAAAAGATTGCCTGAAATGTCCTTGGACTCTTCAGATAGAAAAGCAAAATACATTCAGAAGCTGACTAAGCAAGGTAAGTTTTTGGTTTATAAGTGACACTGGTATATGTTGACAACCAAGCCACAGGTGTTGATCCTGTAAATGCAATTTCTTATTCGTTTGGATTAGTTTGTTACATTTAAACTGAACATGCAGTTTTTACAATATGATAAAATATAGCTAGTCAACTGTCTTTTCAGAGCACGTCACATTAAAGCGTGATTTTTATCATATTTTTAATATTCAACAGTTTAGTTCTTATTGCTGTAGTAGACAAAATTCTATTGATTGCTGCTTATAATTCTACTGAAAATGAAATGTATTGTGGTTGCAACAACAGACCTCAAAATAGTAATCCTTCAGGCTTTCACTTTTAATGTGTGATCTGAATATTAATTTTTGTAGTCTTCTGCACAGTTATGCCACCCATGACTGACTAGAGGTAGCTGGTCTTTCTTTTACTTTTTATATAACTATTTAAAAACTTGCCTTAAAGATGAAATCTGAAATATGCTGACATACAAACACTCATGCAAAGAGGATTTAGGGATTATAGATGACATTCTAAACAAGTATGAGATTAATCACAAATCGATGAGAAACGAGAGATGAAACTCTAATTCTCTTAAAGGGAGCCTTGAGAGTAATAAGCACTGTATATCATTTATTTTCATGTATAAGTCAAAATACTCACTGCCAGGATTTGCAAAGAGAACTAAGAGCATGGTTAAAGACTCTGTTATGTAACTAATAAAGCATAGGAAGAAACAATTGGTGTTGCAGTTTTAAATAATTGAATGAAATCTCTCATCTGCACGGAAGACTGAGAACTGCAGTCAGATAATGGCATCTTTACACTTTAAATTCTCAGCCTTTGCTTGCATGGAGCTCCAGGACTTAGGACTCAATGTTCCTTTACCTGACCTCCAGTTCTGTTTGTCCAGCGAGCTAATATGACAACAGCAATTTGATATTAATTAATATCAAGAGGAATCTAGGATACTGTCAGCATTACATTAGATTCTCATTCTTCATTTATGCATTAATCAGTCTACTGTAATGTTCTCTGTTCTTTCTAATCTGAACGTCATCAAACTCTCTCAGGATTTAACTGAGACTTGATACCATTAAGTAGTCTCCTGGACAATCTTTATACATACTTGTGTAACATTCATGTTCTGTTTCTAGTAATTGCACATGTTGAAGAATTATTTTTTTCTGAGAATTTAATAAATTCTGATTTTACAACAAAAAAGATCACTCTGTAGCTCTCTTGAAATAGTTGTAACAGCAGTGAAAATACTTTTTAACTAAGATGTCCAGCTTTTGCCGTTTTTTGAACTAACCATTGAAGTAATTGAAGGGGTTTTTTTGTTTGTTTGCTTTTTTGTTGATTGTAGGTCCTCTAACCCAACTTGAACTTGTGCAACAAACTGATTTGGCTAGTACACTGGCAGTAGGTCTTGGTCTACCAATTTCAAGAAACAATGTTGGGAACATTATATTACCAGTTGTGGGAAGCAAGACCATGAGAGAACAACTACGTTTCTTGCACATGAATGGGTTCCAGCTTAGCACACTGTTGCAAGAGAATACACCTGCCTATGAAAAAGGTAAATAATCTAAAAAAAACACAGTAAGTGAAAAGAAGGATATTTACCTAATAATATGATATTCTTTCTAACAGAGTTTGGGGTTTTGGGTGTGACACTGCAAATTAGCCATTTAATTGAGAGCAATATTTAGAGTAATAATGTGGAATTTGCTCTTCGCTGTTATTTATTCCAGCACACTGCTTCTGAATGAACATTGTTTAATAAAAATGTTCAGTACTCCTACTAGTAGATGAAAGAGCAGAAATAATGATGGAGGGGTAAGATTAAAGTAAAAACTACCCGTGTAGTTAAATCTCAGTGTTTTCACGCATACTTTTGTGTACATGTGTATTTTTGAGGTACAGGGCACTGATTCTGAGCACTGTTTGAAGGAATAGCACAACGGAATTAATTTTCTGGTTTAGAAAGTCTATGTCCAATAATGTTGGGAAATAATTTACGATGAGTTTCTTTCCTTTTTTCCTTTTTTTTCTTTGTGTGAGTTTACACGGGAGTGAGAACTCAAAGAAATGCAAAATTGCTAGTTAAAAGTACATCTAGATGTACAATTACATGTTTGTATATGTTAGGTGGAGAGAACATAAAAGCAAGGTTGGAAAAATGACCAAAACATCATATGTCTACTCTAGCAAAGCATAATACTCGTTTAAGAAGCTTGTTACAGACAAGCAGCATAAGTAAGCAAGTTAATATAAATATGTGAATAAAACTTAAAATAGAGGTTGCAGGTGGATATTTTACCCTAGACATTAGAAAGCATTGATTTTTAAAGTGATTGTGAAGCCTGAAGTCCTTGTTGCTTGACTGTGTCTGAATCACGTAAATAGCTGCACAGGAATGTGAAGTTGTAATACAAGTATGAATAGTTAAAATGGAAGACAATGTGAAGTTCAGCAAAATGATCACTGTAGATCAAGAAATAATTATCTTTCAACATCATGGCTTCTAATCATAATTAAACCCTGTCCAGTAGCCTGTTAAAACAAATGTTGCCCATGGTAGTGAAATGTTAGTGTAGATAATGCTATGATAATAAAGTCCTATACTGGTATTTTTTCCTCCAGCAAATGGGTCAAATAAAGGAACTCACTATGTTGGTATAGTTTGGAATATGGCTTTTTTTTAATTGAAAATTCCAACACAAAACTCCATTTGACTGTTTCCTCAAGCACTGGTGAAGCAGGCTGAAGTTTCTTCCAGATTCTGTTTTTACTTCATTTTTTCCAGGGCAGCATTATTTCAGCTTGTAGCTTTTCTTTGAGAAACGAAATAAAAATTACTCAAGTTGGAGGAAATGTAAAGTTTTTTATGCTACTTGCTTGTGACTGTGAACTGCTATGAGGAGTGCTATACTACTGGAGATAGGACGGTAGCGGGCAGCTGAGCCTCTGTGATTAGGTTCTCTCTTTTCAGTAACATAGCCTCTGTAAGATGGAATCAGATCTAAGTCCCTGTAGTTTTTTGTGCAGTTTCTTAAGATGAATTTTCTATGTTGCTGTACATGTATTAAGGAGTCTTGCTGTTCTCACAGGTTCCTAGATAAGTAAGGCTTTATCTTAATACACAACTGTAGGAAACTTTGAGTACCATTGAGACTGGCAGGGGAATAAAAGATGTCTGGCTGTTTATTTAGTGGTAAGGTTCATTAATGTGGATACTTCAGTCCATAGAAATACTGAAAAGTCACTAAATTGGTGACTAATGCTGCCTGTAGTTCCAAAGTCTGGATGGATGGTGCTTAGCTTTGGGTTGTTTGGTAACTGAGGGTAAATAGTATCCCACATTTCACGCCACCTTACAAAATGTCTGGCTTGGCGGATAAATGGAGAGAATTGGATGTCGTTTGTGTCGTCACAATAGCCTTGGTAACATGTTTGTCTCCCATAATATACTTTGAGATGAATATGCATTACAGGTTAGATAAATGAACGGTCAATGCAGAAAAGTGGCTAAACTGCCAGGCTCAGAGGGCTGTGATCAGTTGTGATCAGTCACAAAGCCAAGCTGAAGTCCAGTCACTAGTGCAGATCCCAACAGTACTGAAGCCAGTACTGTTGAACATCTTCATTTATGAGCTAGATGATGTGGTAGAGCATCCGTCAGCAATACTGCAGATGGTGCGGAACTTGAAGAAAGATACAGCAGATGAGTTTGGTGCTATTAATACAAACTGGAGAAATGGCCTGACCTCATGAAGTTCAGCAAAGAGAAATGCATCCGGGGAGAAGAAAATGCAGGTTTGATGTTGAGTGCCTGAAGAGCAGCTTGATGGAAAAAGACAAGGGGTCTTGTGGATATGATGTTGAACGTAAACCAGCAATACATCATTGTGAAAAGAAGGCCAACAGTATACAGGGCTTTTTTTTTCTCTTTCCTCAGTTATAGTCATATCACGTGTGGGGTCACTGACCCAACTCTGGCTTCCCCAGTGTAAGGAGGATGTGGACATTGTAATCTAATGAGAGAACTGGAACATCTGTCATATACTAGGAGAGGGGCAGAGGATGCTTGGGCTATTCAGCTTGGAGAAAAGAAGATATGGGAAAGACTTTAGCAATGTATATAATGCCTGAAGGAAGGAAATAAAAAAGACTAAACCAAACTAAATTTGGTGCTTGGTGAGTGAATAAGAGGCATTAAACTTAAATGAAAGGAAACATTTTTCTGTAAGGACAGTAGTACACTAGAGTAAGTTGCATGTAGAATTTGTGTAGTTTCTGTATTTGCAGCCATTCAAGATGTGACTGGGCATAGTTCTAAACAGTGTTCCAGCTCTGTTCTGGGCCTTCTGGTTCTTTTTTGTGGACCACCTGCACACTCATTTGAGGTGTGCTGACAAATCTTGGGCCATACTGTTTCGGAGTTCTGTGGGTGGAGTGTGCTATCAAGTGTTTTGAGGATAAGAATCCTCAGTAATTACCCAATTAAACATCTCACTCATTTGCAAACTAAAAGTTGAAAATTTCTATTTCAGATTCTTGGTTAGTGACAACTGGCAGATGTTGAAATTTCAGTTGAATTCTGAGCAGAAATGCTTTTTTTTTTTTAAATATAATTGTTATTCATAGAATTTTAGAACAGTCCTTGCAGTCCACTGCATCTAGAAGAACGCTCTTGATTGTGTGACGGTGTTCTTATCTCAGTGTGGTGGGCAGTTGTAGGAGATAGTACTACTTCCTTCCTGTTCTAAACTGCAGATCATTCATCTGAATTATCTTACACAACTAGGGCTGTTTCTGTACAAGGCACATTATGGTAGAACAAAAAGCCATACTTGAGTACAAGTTGGATATTAATAAAATGAATGTCCACTCTTTAGTTTGGTCCCAATCTTAAGCTTGTGTTATGTGTTTATATTGAACAAAATAATTTGCTGATTTCTGAGATTTATGTACTGAAACTGGAGAAGTTGCCTCTACATCATAAATTCATTTCATTAAGAACTTTGATAAATGTACGATTGCTGCCTGTGACTATAATTAAATAAAACTATCAACCAGGTGCTTGGGAAGCATAACCAAGAGAGATGCAGAAGAGTGAAATAAATATGCTATAAGGAATACAGGAGGAGACTGGGGGGGTTGAAAAAAATAAAAAGAAATGGAATTGGATCAGGAACAGAAGTTGTAGACAGAAATTACTTAGATTTCAAAATATAACTTGGGCAAATTTTAGTGTTCTGTATAATATAATGGTGCTGTGCCAAATCTTGGTTTGATTGAAGCTCATTTTAGATAATCCATTCTGGATTTCCTCAGAAGTATGAATGTTTAACTCTCATTTCAAGTAGGAGTTATTTGAATTTACATGCCAGAAGAAAAACTTTCTAGGGAATTCGCTGTTTAAGAGTTATGTTGTGAAAGCCTTAGTGCACACTGGCAGCTCTCTTGATATGCAGGTGTTTGCTGCTGATTGAACTGTACTCACCAGAAGATACCTGTAAGCCTCCAGTGTGGTATAACCAGTGTATTTTTTTAATATAGTTCATTTGGAAAAGATCATTAATTCCAACTGTCTGACTATTTCAAGGCTAAACAGAGTTAAAGGACATTAATGAGGGCATTGTCCAATTGTCTCTTGCGGACTGTCAGCCATGGGGCTCCAACCATTTCTCTAGCAAGTCTGTTCCATTGTTTGACCTTGTAAATTTTTCATAATGCTGAGCCTGAACCTCGCCTGGTACAGCTTTGTGCCTTGCATCCTATCATGAGTCACTGGAGAGAAGACGAGAAGAGAGCTCTGGTATCTCCCACTCCCCTTGACCTCCTCAAAAATTGCACAGAGCAGTGATGAGATCTCTCGGCCTCCTTTTCTATAAACCAGATAGCTCAAGTGTCCTCAATGTCACTTCATAGAACATGTCATCCAGCCTGTGTCCTCTGGATACTTTAAAGGATTTCAACATGCTTGTCATACGGTGGAGACCAGAACTGCACACAGTCTTCAGAAAGGTGCTAAAAATATGGGGACATTCACATCTTTTAATTGGATAGCTGTGCTGTGTTTACTGCACCCCAAAATGCGGTTTGCCCTTTGGCTGCTAGGCACGGTGCTGGCTTGCGCTGAGCTGATGTTACTGGCATTGCCAGGTCCCTTCCTGCTGTACTGCTCTTGAGGCACTCATCTCCCATCTGTGCCTACGTCTGGCATTGCCTTGTCCTAGCTGCAGAACCCGGCATTTTTCTTTCCTGAATTTTGTGGTGCTGATGATTGTCCAGTGCTCCAGTGTATCTAGATCCATCCACAAGGACTCTTGTCCCTCCAGGAAGTCAACAGTGCCTTTCAGTTTAGTGACCTTGCCAAGGCACTCCACTCATGCATCATTCATCATAAAAATGTTGAACAGAACTGGCCTTAGGACTGAGCTCTGCGAAACACCAACTACTGATTACTTTAACCCTTGCTTTTTGAAACACCACAGTAAATGTTTAGCTTACTTTTTAAGTAGGAAGTTAAGAAATTAAAGTTAGAAGGACAGTGTTAGGCTTGTTAAATAACCATTTCCAGATTGTTCTTTTTGCCCTTGTTATTAATTTCATAGTGTGAAATAGCATGGAAGTAGCAAGGGTTCTTTGTAGAGCCACAAGTTGGACTCACTGATCCATGTGGTTCCTTCCTGACTTGAGATGTTCTCTTGTTCTCTGATAATTATTGAAGTGAAGCAAAAGAAACATTTCTTGTAAACAGTGCAGATTGGCATATATGTTCACACAGCACAGTGTCTACTGAAATACATTTTCTTCTGTTCTAAATTGAGATTGTGTTGTGGGTGCACGTTATTCCCAATGGCCAATTTTTAAATATTGTAGGGCATGTTGGAGTATGGGGCAAAGCACCTATAAAATGATAAAGAAAAGGATATCTTAAGTGCTTTAAGATACAATACCACTGTCAACATTTACAGTAAAACACAGCAGCTAATCTAATTTGCTGTGTTGTAAATACATGTTCTTGAAATTCAACTTACAAGTGAGTATAATGCTGAAGTGGATATAAGTCTCAAACTATTAATTTTTTGCAGATTTCTTTTTAAATTTCATGTTGATGATTATGAATTGTTCTAATTTTCTTCTATGTGTGAACAAAATTGTGTCTCTTTCATGCCTGCCTGCAGTATCTACTTATTGTCATTGCTGAATACATCTTTTGGGGAAGTAAAAATGCTGTCAAGACTGGTCAGGAATTACTGTGCTGCAGCTTTTTCTGTGAATATTTAACAGTGGGAAAGCTGGCAGTGGGAAAGCAGCATTAGTTATGGGAGAGTAAAGCAGTGGAGCTCTCTTGCATCTTTTGAATTGTCTTGTAACATTTATTGCCTATCCACATAATGTGGACACTCTGTGTCATATATCAACTCTAACTTAGTGTAAAGTAAGGATTCTGTGGAATAACCAGTACTTCTGGGAGGGAAAATTCATGCAGGATGAAAGCCACTGCTGCTGTAATTGCAAAGGACTTGTAAAATAGGATTTGGATATTTGTTTCTTCCCTATTTCGCCTGTTGTCATCACTCAAGGTTAGTGTTCCCGCCTGCCACAAGTTTTACTTCTGGACAGAATGCTTTTTAATGTGGCTAGGCCATCATGAATCACCTTCTGTTACAAGCCATTTACTTCTGTGGGTTAGTGGCAGTATCAGGTTTTCTTTTTTTTTTTTTCAGTCTAGTTTGGACAGTGGTCAGCCCTTATACAATAGCAAGAATATCTAGCTTCGTGGAAGGAGGATTGTTTTGCACCAGCTTGTTAATCCAAATGACTGAAGCCAAACCACGCACTTCAGTTGTTAACTTTCCTATGCCTGCATCAAAATACAGCTTATTTTGTGTTTCGCTTTGTGTTACCAGCTGATTCTCATCACTTGCAGCAAAATCAGGGCCTTTAATCTGCTTTGTGTAGGTCCTTTAGTGGTTTCTTCAAAAAATAAAGTTTCTTCAGCAATCTGATGATTTCCTACTTGTGAAATAACGGCCTGGAGAGTAAGTAGCTCCAGTGGAGGGGAAAAAAAAAAAAAAAAAAAAAAGATTGTTTTAAGGATTTAAAGCATTTGGGTATGTTTATCTTGGAAACCTTTTGTAAAAGTAAATGGCTGTTTTAATGTGTTTGTCACTTTTAGAGTCTTTGACGTTTTATTTGTTTGAGGATTAATTGCTTTTATTCAGCGTAACATTATGGTCTTGCTGGAAGGTAATGCTACTTCCTGTGTGCAGAATAAGTTTCAACTGCTGTTGCAGTTTTTCTGTAGATTACACAAGCAAATATAAAAAAATATATCAGTATGTTTAGATCTCTAATTATCCTCCTTGTCCATGGATCCTCTAACCTGTTGTTTTTTTCCCCCCCTAATAGATCTTGGATACGAGCAGTTTAAGATAGCAGAAAAATCCCATGGTAATTGGATCAAACTGTACCTAGAGGGGAATAATTCAGAAATACTCTTAAATCTTGGCAAAAAGGTCCTGAAACAATACTTGGAGGCCTTGAGGACGTTGAGTTCTTCGCTAAGCAAACAAGTGGCACAATATGATATGTATTCAATGATGGTGGGGACTGTGATCATTATGGAGGTAAACAAAAAATATGTCTTTTTATGGAAAAAGCTAAATGCAAGGCATAAAATTCCCTGTTGTTTGACTATTTAGTGTATGTTCTTCAGAATTAAGTATTTTAGGTTTGTTCGTATTTGAAAAATTAACGTAGTACTCTTTTTTTAAATTATTACCCTTTGAAATGATTCAAGAGAAATTATGATGCCTGTGTCTTGGTGTAAGTTGGTATATATGCACGTCACAAGTCAAAGAATAGCTTGGATTTGAAGATACTTTGAAGATCTAGTTCCAACTCCCTGTGTAAAAAAAA